ATGAAGCAATGTTTAACTTAGGGTTTGGCTACTTAAGTAATTGATATTGTAGAGAGCCAAAGACGACGCTTTAGAATAAATGAATATCCAATGTGTTGCCGCCATCTGCTGGTCAGTAAAAGAAATGCCATTCTATTAGGAAAACACTGATGCAGGCAGTTTTAAGTAAAAATGTCATTTGGGGTTATCCTATTAAGATGGAGAATGCACTACCTCCAATGGGTCACTCTCTCCCAAATGCCAAATAATATTTCCATATTCCACAACCAACAGCACCACTAACAAAACCAGTTCCACAACAAATTTAATGTGAAAACTGTGGAGTAGAACAACAGAGCAGAACAATGAAATTCTACAGAACTGTTCTGATGGATTTCCGGCAGTGGCAGCAAACTCAAATAGAAATCAAGTGGGGGGCAGGAGGTAGGGGTGAGCACCAATCCATTCATGAGGATCCCCGAAGCCTGCATTTTGACCTAGTTTTTAAATGTAATATGTTTTATTGTAGTTTTGTTCAGTATTTCCCAATCACCTTTTAAACTGGTTGGGGGATGGGTGAGGAAGTGCTGTGGCATTTCTCGATTTCCAGAATGCTCAATGATGACTTTATCCTGCAATAACTTTATCAAGGTGGACTTGACTTAACTGCCGTGTAATTAACATCATGCAAACTTTCCAACACACTGTTAAGCATCTTGGTAACGTTTTCCATCCATATACAAGCACTGTTGACTTGAATTTGGGCTCAGTGAAATATATGGCACACAAAAAAAATAACCTTTCCATAACAGGTGACTTCTACGGTGGCTGTTGTTGTTTTTTAGGTTGTGGCATTATTAATCATATTTATGTCTATAACAATAAAAACATTCTCATCCCTGAGAGGGAGTATAACAGCTATAATTGGGCAGCCTCAGAGACAGTTTAAGTATTGTCTCTAACATATGCTAGCTATTGGACTAAGCTACTGTCCCTAAGACCATTAAATTACAAAGAAAATGCCAGTTATCTAGGGGGAAATTCAATACTAGGAGCTCCCCATTCTGATAAAATCACAAATCCTGACCAAGAAAAAAAAACTCACCTTAAATAACTTTATGTGATGTTAAGGTTTAATTTGCTATGGCAATTATAGTCAAGAACATTTAAAGTTTCTAAGGAACATTTGTCAAAGGCCATTTTATTTCTGTAACTGATATGCTGAGGGTGGTGGGAACAAATAACAACAGGATGTGTGGAGTGTTTTATTGTTGGGGACTAAATGTGGGTTGTGTCCCAGTATCATGAACTATAGAGAAATTTTTATTTGGAAGTCTAGTTCACCATTCCACATGTTTGTGTGTGTCTATGGAAATATAAAGATGTGAATGGAAGCTTTTTCTCATACACGAACCATTCTGTTACTTCCACTCACAAATCCATATCTTCCCATGGATGGATGGCACACACACGCTTTTCTCTCACATACTGTCTCCCGTTCATTTTGTTTTGCTTTTGGCTAGGCAATGGGGTTAAGTGACTTGCCCAGGGTCACACAGCTGGTAAGTGGTATGTGTCTGAGACTGGATTTGAATTCAGGTCCTCCTGACTCCAGGGCCAGTGCTCTATCCCCTGCACCACCTAGCTGCCCCCTCCTGTTCATTTTGTCATACATAATCTGAATTCTCATGCACATCACACATCATTCTTCTTTCTTTCTCTCTCTCTCTCTCTCTCTCTCTCACACACACACACACACACACAATATTCCCCTTGCCATAAACCATTCTCACAGGCTTATTCTGTCTCTCACACATATATCTGTACATATCAGCTATGTGTTACAGACAATATATACACGTGTGCATATATGTACATTTCTCTATACACATCTGTAGTCATCAGTCATGCCATATATAATATATACCTATGTGTGTATAAGTACATCTCCATAAATACACAATCTGCATACACCAGTTATGTTATATATGTGTACATGTGTACCTCTACATGCATTGCATATATCAGTCATGTCATATCATATATACATATGTGCATATAGGTAAATCTCTCGACAAATCTGTAGTCATCAATCATGTTATATAAGACATGCCTTGTGCAGATGTGTCCATCTCCATGATACAATGTGTGCATGTTGTGTCATATAAAACACATACATGTGTAGCCTACATTACAAACAGAAGTTCTGTTATGTAATATGTACATCTACAACACACCAATCATGCTATATGATACACACGTGCATGCCTAAACACCACATGCATAAGTCATATTGTGTGTAAATATAACTGCATACATCAGTCATATTATATAACATATACACACATGTGAACAACTACACACCTCATATACAGTCATTGGGTTACCTATGATGCATACAACTGTATAATCATACAGATGCACATCATATACATCAGTCATATGTATTACACACACACACACACATATTAAGACGTGTGCCTGTGTGGACGTCTGTGTATATGACCACCCACTCACAGTCATACTGTTACCAAGATACATACACATGTACACACATCTGTACACACCCGTCAGGTTACCTAGAATGCGCATACACTAATGTCCATCTATAATTCACCCGTTAACACCAGTCATATACGTTATGCATGCATATATAGGTGTGTGCATACACCTCTATACATCCCTGTCCACACATCATGCTCTACGGCTAGATATACACACATACACATGTGCACCTATATTAATGTAACATCAGTCCAGTTAGATTCGTCTGTGCACGCGTGCATTCCATGACGACACACGCCTGTGTACGTCAGTCACACATCACACCACACACACACACACACACACCCCGCTATGTACACACCAGTCGCACGCATCGCCTGTAATCCCTCTCGGTGCCCATCTGTCCATGGTTCCGGTCACGTTCGCAGCCTGCCCGGGCCTCTTCCCACGTGCACGCGTCACTCTCCCGTCCCCACACCCCACGCACACGCGCCGCTGCCCATCACACACTCCCTTGCACACTCGGCAGCTCCCCTCCCCCATCTTCTCTCCCATCCGCCGACTCCGTTACCCTCCCACGTCTGTCGCACACTCATCGGCGGCACACGCCCACGCCCTCGGGCTCCTGGGGTGGGGGCCGCGCAGCTCCCCGGCCCCGCCGCCACTCACGGGCGCCTCTGCTTCTCGTTCCAGGCCGGCGGAGAGCAGTTCGGCGGGGCCGGGGGAGGCGGTGGCTCGGGCGGGCGCCATGAGCCCGCGGTAACGTCACGCAGTCGGCTCACGAACGCGCCCCCGCCCCACACTGACGGGGAGGGATCGGGGTAGAGAAAGCGGGGGAGGGGTGGGTTTCGATAGACGGCAGCCGGGAGGGGCCAGGCGGGGGGGGGTGGCGCGGGAGCCGCCGCGGGCTCGGGGTTCGCGGGGCTCCCCGGACCATGAGGCTCCGAGCCGGCCGGGCCGAGTTTGTCTGCTCCCGAGTCCGCCGGGTGAGCGGGCACCAGCGTCGGGCCGGGGCGCCGGGCGGCGGCGGAGGCGGAGGCAGCAGGAGGAGGGCGCGGGGCCCTCGCCTCTGGCTTTATGTGGCAGCTGCGCGGCGAGTCCAACAGGTGGCTCCGTGGCGCAATGGATAGCGCATTGGACTTCTAGAGGACGAAGGCATTCAAAGGTTCCGGGTTCGAGTCCCGGCGGAGTCGCAAGTATTTTTTCTTTTTGCTCATTTTCTCCCCAGCTCCCTTCTTTTTTCCCCCGCAGCGTGGCAGCCCTCTCTGAGGCTCACGCTCGCTGCCCACGCCGCGCTCGGCCTTCACGGCTCCCGGGCCGGCGCCTCCGGCCTGCGCGCAACCAGCGTGGACTGGAGACGGAGCAAGGAAGGAGGAGCCCGGGGGCTCAGTGTGGGGGCTGCTTCTTAGCCCTGGATCGAGCGCGAGTGCGGACCAGCCCCTCTGCTTCCCACTTTACAGATGAGCAAACCAAGGCCTGGAGCGATTACACGCACCTCCAATCTACATCTTCCCCCCCCTTTTACAAACTGAGGCCTAGAGAGTACAATCATGAGGCCAGTCTACCCTCCGCCCCGTTTTACAGATGAGCAAACTGAGGCCCAGAGAGAGTACATGCACAGGACCAATCTACATTTCCCTCCCTCCACCTCCCCATTTTACAGATGAGCGCACTGAGTCCTAGTGAGATTATGTGACACACACACCCCTCCCTCCCCCAGTCATGCAGGTAGCAAATGGGGCAGCCGTGATTCAGATTCTGTTCTTGTGACCCCACCTCCCTTGGCCTAGGCTGCCAAAGGTAAAAATGTGTGCCAGGCTTTGCACAAACCCAAACATGAGCAGGCGCCTCTGGCTTCCCCTTTTCATGGGCCCTGGGGAATTGCTTCCCCAAGAAGGCAGAGAAATCCGGGGCCGGTAGAGGGGACAGGGAGAATGCCCATGGCAAAGAGGCCAGGAGGAGAGGGATGGGAAGTAAGCCTGGGTAGGCAGGCTGGAGCCAGCTTCATCGGGACATAGAAAAGGATGGGGAGAAGAGGGTACCGCCCTCTCCCAGCTATGTGCTAGCCAACCTTAAAAACAAAACAAAAAAGGCTGGGGAGTCAGACTCCCAGGATCCTATGAGTTAGACCTGGAACATACTTACCAGACTATGGCTGACACTATCATCTGTTGGTGCCCTGGACCCCTTGGCAACCTGGTGACGCCTATGAACCTCTTCTCAGAATCATGTTTTTAAACGTGTAAAATGAAGTACGTGGGATGACAAAGGAGACCAGTTGTATTGAAACACAATGTTCAAAATACATTTTTTACAAACAAGCTTACTGCACCTCATGTTAAGAACCCCTGATGTCTTGCAGCTTCTTTGTTTTGCAGAGGACTCAGCTGAGGCCCTTGCAAAAGAACTTGCCCAAGGTCATACATCTTATCCCACAGTAGTGGCTGCCTTCACTGATGAGGAAGAGAGAAGAGCTGTGTTCTCAGAGTGACTCCATTCCCATGCAGCTGCAGGACACCTTTTCCTAAATGAACAATTATTTAATGAGGGCTTAGGTTCCCAAACAAAGCCTACCCCTACCCCAAGTTTACTTACCTATAATGTGACAGAACTATGGAAGGAAGAACACGAAAATACTACATAAAGACAGTAAGAAGGTCGACTGGGTGGGGAAGTATGAATTAAGTTAATTTCAGCTACATTGGGTGAGTATAAACCTTTGGGAATGGCTGGGAATCTAACTTTACCGTACTGTTTCTTTGAGAAAATATCTTCTTAGTTTCAAATGTGATTGACTGACAAATGAAGTTTTGGAACACCACAAGGTTGTATGTATAGACTTCCTATTACATATGGTCAGAACACTAACAAAAGCTCAAGGTGACCAGAAAGTACTTAAGAAATTATGGCGGTCCAGCTGCAGCCTACCTAGCCAGGTGGTTCATATTAGTTTGCTTCAAGCACCCTCTGGTCCAGCCAGAATTGCCTTTTCTGTTGGAAGAGCCTCTTCAGACCTTTGCATCCATACCTGGAGTACCCTCTCTGAGGCTTCCCTTTGTCACCCATGAACCTTAGCATCCTGCTTAGGCTCTTTCTTCAAGGGGAAGTCTCAGAGTCTAGTGATCTATCCCTTCGTCGAAACATCTTGTATTTCCCCATCTGTGTACGTGCCTTATGCTCTCTGTAGAATGTAAGCCCTCCAAGAACAGGGACTTTCACTTTTGTCTTTCTCTAGTATGGAGAAAGTGCTTGTATCTCTAGTGTTTGGTATAATGCTCAAGGATCAATCCTAGAGTCATAGATCTAGAGACGAAAGGGACTTCTAAGTAATATATGTGTTTGATAGAGGCTTTCTGAGTGAATGAATGAGCAAATAAACATTTAAACAAAAATTGAGACTGTTTCAATACTCTCTATTAAGTCATTACAGCATCTACAGTTTTACCTTTTTTGAAAATATAAAGCATCTCTTCAAAAAAGGTCTACTGTGTATAGTTCCTTGTATATGGATAAGCTCATGTTTGTTGATATATGTCAAGCTCATTTAGAAAACAGCAGTGAAAGGCTAATTAGGCAACTCAAGCAAAGAGCATCAGATAATTCTACTAATGAGATTTCTAATCATTTTTTTTTATATTTGGCTAGGCAATGGGGTTAAGTGACTTGCCCAGAGTCACACAGCTAATAAGTGTTATGTGTCGGAGGCCGGATTTGAATTTAGGTCCTCCTGAATCCCGGGCCAGTGCTCTATCCACTGCACCACCTAGCTGCCCCTCTAATCATCTTTTCACACCGGAAAAGTGTGTATTCCACCTTGTGAACAATGACCACTCCAAATAATGAGCTCTTAGCAGTCCTTGTGAATCCTGGTGATCTAAGTTACCAGGATGGCTAAACTGTCACCTTTCCCTCAAACATTAAAGGCAATCCAATCTAAGGAGTTAAAAAAGTAGGTGGGTAAGAAAAGAGTATAGACAACTTTTTTCAGTAAGTTCAGTACTAGAAAGGGGAAAAGAGATGAGATGATAGCTCCATGGGCTAAAAGGGGCAAGAAGTTTTTGGGGTTTTTTAAGACTGGGTACATTTGAGTGTGTCTACGGGCAGGTGGGAAGGGACCGGGGATGAGGGAGAAAGTCAGCCCAAGAGAGATGGGGGATGGCTTCAAGACCTTGAAGGAGGCGGGATGGAATGGAATCAATAGTGAAGGTTGGGGGATTAAGCCTCAGTGAAAGAAGGAATAGCCCCTCTGTGAGCTAGTGGAAGGAGGAGAGAATATCCTGAAGTTTGAGGAACAGAGGAGTTGAAATTTAATGTGTCCAAACCATGAGACACATATTCTAAAAGACCAAGAAGTAAATTAGGTGCTCTTTTCTTAAGATAAGAGGAGCCAGAGAGGCATTCCAAGCTTATCAATAGGCTTTAAATTTCAAAACCTTACATACCTTGACCAGAATGCCCAGCCTGAATCTGATTATTGGACTGTCTGACAGTGTGACTTCAGAGGACCTTTCCAGACTTATTTCATGTTACTGTCTTTCTCATTTTCTACATTCCAGACAAACCAGCCTGTTTGTTATTACCTGAACTCACTATCCCATCTCCCACCTCCAGACCCTTGTCCTGGAATATAAACCCTCTGATGAGGCTTCCCCTCTATTCAACTTTTCTTGATCTTTCTAGATTTCAGATCTCCCCTTCTCCCTTAAATTTTCTTATATTTTACCCATCAGTACCTCCATTATTTCCCTGACCTGTATGTAAATTCTTTAAGGGGAAGGAACGTTTGTTGTCTTCGCTTCTTCAAATCAAGTAAGCAAGTATTAGACTTTTACTTTGTGCCAGACACTGTGCTGGGATTTGGGAATACAAATGCAAGCAGAAAAAAAGATAGATTCTGCCCTCAAGGAGCTTACACTCTAGTGGGGAAAGATAACTCATAAAAGAAAGCTGAAAGGGGTGAGGGTGGGGAAGAGGAAGATACCTAGCAAGGGGTACAGTAGAGGAAGTCCACAGAGTCAGGAGGGCATCCTGAAGAGGAACGAAGACAGCTTACTCAGTTTACCCAACATGGGCAACTTACCCAACGTATGGAAAATACTCCAGTTGCTCCTCGGTAATTGGTCTTTCAATCCAACATGTACATAGACACACACATATGCACATATGTGCATACCTGCGTGTGTATGTGTGTATATATGTATATTTACATACATATGTATGTGTATGTATATTTACAGTTTGTTTCCCCCATTGGAATTTTATCTTCTTGAGGGAAGAGACCTTTTTTGCCTGTCTTGTTATCCCCAGTGGTTAACACAGCACCTGGCACATAGCACGCACTTAGTAATTGTTGATCAGTCGATCAATCGGTAAAGATGCATTTGGTTTTCTCCTCCAGGATTCGGTTTTCGGCAGGCTACTCTTATTCTTCACACAGCTACCAAAAGGATCCTCCCAAGATACACATTTTTAACCATGTCACTCCCCTGCTCCAAAACTGTCTGATGACTTCTTATTGCCCAAAGGATAAAATGCAAGCACCTCTGGGTGACCTTGAAGACCCCCAAAATTTCTACCCACCTCCCTTTCCAGCCCCGGTCCACATTACTCTCCTTTCCTATACTCGACATTACAGCCAAACTGGATTGCTAGCTATTCTGTCCTGCCCCCTGCCTCCCTGGATTCCCACAACCCCTTGCCCCTCCTCCAAATAGCAACCATGCATTTTTCTCATTTCTGCTTTTCAGAATATTCTTCTTTCTTTAAAGTTCAGCTTAGATGCCGCCTCCTTCAGGAAGCCTTTCTTCATTCCCCTTCCCCCACCAAGTAAAAATGTTCTCTCTTTCCCCAGATTTTCTCAGAACACTTTGACTTAATCTGGTTTTCACCCTCTCACACCTTCAGTCCTTATCTTTTGTGTTATACGAGGTGCACCAGAAGTCTTAGTGCAGTTTTATGCTTTCATAGTTTACCTTGACTGCCTTTTGCCTCTTATTTTTATCCTCAGCACTTAGCACAGTGCCTGGCACATAATGAATGTTTATTGCTTGATTGATTAACAGCCTAAAACTGCACTAAGATTTTGGAGCGCCCTATACCTGATATAAGCTAGTAAATTCTTGATTTGCCTGAACTATAATCTTGTCCTTCAAAAGTTGGAGGAGTCAACAAGAGGAAATTTTGCTCTGGATCTGATGCTCACTAACAGGGACAGACTAGTTGCTGAGGCAGATAAAATGGGAACCCCAGAAAGAAGGGATCCCTCCCTCCTAGAGTTTATGATCAAGGAGAAAAAAGATCTGGGCACAGTCTGACCTATACTATACATGTGGGGAATGCAAATTTCAGAGGGTTCAGAGAAAAGGCAAATAGGGATGGAATAAAATTCCACAGGAGAAGTTATTCTAGGAAAGCTGAGAGATGCTCAAGAAAGAAATTCTCCAGACAAAGGAACATCAGGAGAAATGATGGGATCTGTTGGAAAAGCCCTATGTGAAGGTGTAGGGACCTCACCAACTAACTCTTCAGGCTGGGTGTGACTCAGGTTAGGTCAGATGGATGGATGGAATGAGGTACTCAGATCATTCAGCAGTTAACAAAGGGGGTTTGCTTAGTCACAACCCCAAAAGAATGTTCAACAAGGGTATTCCAGCACTTACTAGGGTAAAATACATCTCCCATCTCCATTGGGAAACCAGTCTGGTCAATAGGGCAGGGTGTGGCAATATACTTGGTCTTGGGACATGGGTCCCAAGGGCTTTTTTTAAGCCCTTAAGGGTGACTAGGAAGCCACATCAATACAGCCAGAGGCTACCAGAGAAGCTGTATGAAGTAGGAAGAAACTTGAACCTTGGTCCTCTGGATCAATCTCATTTTGGGGACAGCTACCATTCAGAGAAAAAAAAAAAAGCCTAACCTAACCCAAGTTGGAGGAGGAGAAGGGAAAGCTGGTAGAAAGCAGTTCCAACCCACCATCTACCTGGGATTTTTGATTTTTTCTCTTAAAGACCAACCTTAATCCCAAATCACTCTAGTCCAGACCAAGCCCTACTTGGCTACTGTATGGGCCCGGATTGACTGAGAATGAATATAAATAACAGTTGTTTCAGTTTGGGCCAGAAACCCCGAGGGTCTTCCCGTTTCAGATCTATTTTTTTTAAGAGGCCATTCTTTGCCTCATTTTTTTTTAATAAAAAAATCACTGAGTGGGTGCCACCTCAGTCAAACTGAGACCTGTTAAATACCTTAGCTTGAAAGGACCTCCTGGGCCATCTCCAGCAAGGAAGTATGTAGAAGATGGAAGCAAGAACAGGTAGTAGAAGAGGAATATAACAACATGCCATGGTCCTGTAAATATAGTGTCTGGAGAACTGAAGCTCTGAATGTGCTGAGGTCGCTAAGGGAAGCTAAGAACAACAATTTTTTTTAAAAAGCTAAATTAGGAAGAAAAAGAAGGAAGAAAGAAGAGGTAGGAACTTAGTTTGAAGTGGGTGGATGTGACAACCAGCAACAGAGAAACAGTGTGGAATTAATTCCTGTTTTCTCTGCCTAAAAGAATGAATGGCTTTCATCCTGGAAATAAAAATGACAAAATGGAGAACAGAGAATGGATTCTCAAGCGAAGTAAGGAGGAAGTAAAAGATGTCTTCAAGTCACCTGAGCCAAATAAATGCCGTTCTTGACCTCTTGGCTGAGAGAAGGGAGTTGGGTTTTTTGGGGGTTTTTTTAGGCTTATTGGGGTTAAGTGACCTTGCCCAGGGTCACACAGCTAGTAAGTGTCAGGTGTTTGGTTGGAGGCTGGATTTGAACTCAGGTCTTCCTGACTTCAGGGCCGGTGCTATATCTACTATGCCACCTAGCTACCCAAGAAGGGAGTTATTAATGGTATTCTGCATTGAGTGTATGGCTGAAATTAATATAGTGCTTGGATTTGCACAGGACTCACAGGATCATATAATCTCTGAACTGGATGAGACCTCAGAGGCTGTCTTCAATTAGCAGTAATATTTGAAAGTTGTGGAAGATGAGAGGCATCATACAATTGAAAAAAGGGCAAATGTTCTGATTTTCCCAGAAGAGAATGGAACAGAGTCCGCAAACTATGTAGACCAATGAGTTTAATTTCTACTCCTAGGGAAATTCTAGAACAGATGATTTAAAAAGATAGCTGGTAAACATCTAGATGGGGTGGGGAACCTGCAGCCTCAAGGCCATATGTGGCCCTCTAGGTCCTCAAGTGCAGCCCTTTGACTGAATCCAAACTTCACAGAACAAATCCCCTTAATAAAATGATTTGTTCTGTAAAACGTGGACTCAGTCAAAAGGCCACACCCAAGGACTTAGAAGGCAGTGAGATTTCATCAAGAATTGGTCGGGGGCAGCTAGGTGACACAGTGGATAGAGCACTGGCCCTGAAGTCAGGAGGACCCAAGTTCAAATCTGCCCTCAGACCAAACACTTGACACTTACTAGCTGTGTGACCCGGGGCAAGTCACTTAAACCCCAATTGCTTAAAAAAAAAAAAAAAGACCTGGTCATATCAGACTAGGGTTATTAAACTGGTAGAAGCTCAATAAATACTTATTACTTGCTTGTTTGATACCATATAGCATTTCACTGAATAATTTCCCATTCTTGACACTCTACAGTTTATCAACGTGCCTCCTAACAGGTGGTTTCCAGAACTGACCTCAGTCCTTCACATGGGATCTCACCAGGACAAAGTACAATGGCATTATCATCTCGTTATTCTTGGCATTTTGCTTCTCTTAATGAAACCTAAAATCACATTAGCATTTGAGGCTGCCATATTACACCATTGACTTACATTGTATGCAATTCACTAAAATAACTAGATCTTATTCAGAGAGAACGTTATCGAGCCATGCCTCTCCCATTAGCTAGGTGGCATAGTAGATAGACTGCTGGACTTGAAGTCAGGAAGGTCCGTGTTCAATTTTATCTTCAGACACTGACTAGCTGAGCAAGTCATTTAACCTCTCTTTGCCTCACTTTCCTCAGTCTGTAAAATGGTAATAATAATAATAGCACCTATCTTCCAGGATTGTTGGGAGAATCAAACAAGATAATATTTGCAAAGTGTTTAGCACAGTGTCTGGAATTATATTATGTGTTTAATAAATTCTTGCTCCATTGTGGTTTTTTTTCCCCTGAAGTGAAGACTTTATTAAAGTATTAAAGACCCCATTAAATTTTATTGTATTAGTTTTGTCTTACTCCTCTAAATCTTTTGGAGGTCTCAACTTTATCATTCAGGGCAATAGTCCTAACAGCTTTTTGTCATCTGAAAAATTTCATGAATATGCTATATTTACCCTCATCCAAGTCACTGATGCAAGTGATAAACAGTACATGACCAAAGACATGGGGCATATTACTAGAGACCTTCTATACATATCCTTGTTAGGTCCTTTCATCAATAGTTTGCATTCATATTAATGGAGTATGAGCATTCTCTTTTCCTTTATTCCTCAATTGAACCAGGTCAATAATTATTTGTGCTCCTACCTTAGCCCTTTTATAGACTGAGGGATACTTTTTTATATTCCCAGTACTTTGCACTGTAGTCACTATAATATATAATAAATATGTAAAAATGATAAATTATATCTCTTAAATGTTTGTTTTTGACCTATTTATTGGGAGTGAGAGTGAGGGAGAAGGAAAGACTGAATGAAAGCTGCACAGGTATAAATTTCTTTCCAAATTACTTTCATTCCCTACTGCACAATGGATCCAGTGTATCTTCTAAGGAATATTTATGATAATCTTTTTTTTAAAATGTTAATGAAACATTTTTAACATTGCTGTCACTTTCTAGTGTCCTGTCTTCACAGAACCCTGCCGTATACATAAGAAGTATATTCCACAAAACAAACTAACAGGTAGGCTTAACAATGCATGCCTCCTTCTGCACCTGAGAGAACAGAGTTATTTATTGTATTCCCAGCACTTTACACTGTAGCTACTATAATATTTAAAAATGATTTTATATATATATGTATATATATATACATACATACATACATACATACATATATATGTTTGTTATTGATATAATTATGACCTATTTAGTGGCTGGGTTATTCTCTCTGGCTGAGAGCTATCCACCACTCAACTTTGGCTTTGTGGGTATCACTTTTCTCCTTTTACTCCAGTGCATTAATTAGCTCATCATTCATAGTTCATAGCTCTAGAGCTGAAAGGGGCCACAGATGCTAAGATGTCCAACCTCCTCATTTGACAGTTGAAAAAACTGATGCCTAGACAAGTTAAATGACTTATTCAAGGTCATATGTGGAGCAAGAAGAGCTCTTAGGTTCTCTGAATCTCACTATTTCAACTGTGTGAATTATCCAGGCCCAGTCTCACCTAGTCTCCAATGCATTTCTGTTAAAACTCCCTCTTAGGCATACTTGTATATAATGTGTTAATTGGACCATTGGTGTAACACCCTCTTATAATAATTAACTCATTTTATGCCTGAGGAGCCACATAAGGTCAGTGAGATTCTCTCCTCTACTGTTTTATGGAGCTTAGATTAGATGGAAAGTTAGGAGTACATTCATAATTGCTCTGAGCCCCCAGTTGGGAAAATTCTTAACATTTAGGCAAAACTTGGCTCTCTGATTCAATTTACATTTATATGTATCTCTAGTTAACCCCTGGCCTCTCGATGGTTGAAGAGACATTTGAGTTAAGAAGCAGTATAGTATATTAATATGTTCTATTGATAGACACTAGGAAAAGAAGCTAGGGAAAGAGCAGACCTTTTCTTGAAACTTCCCTTAATCCTTAAGGAGGTGGGTACAATTGGTGATATAAGACCATATCTTCTGCTCCAAGATCCCTTTATCTGCCACAGCTCAGTATTGCTTTCTCTTTCTTTTCTCTGGTTGCCTCCTGGACCCCTGGGCTGACAGCTCTTTCTGGTCCAGATCAAGATATCCCTGTGCCTTCCTCTCCACTGTCAGACTCTCAAAATCTCCCTCAATTCCAAATCTCTATTTCAGCTTCAAGCTTCATTTCCTCATCACCACCAGCCAACAACTGTTGACCAGTTGCCACGGACAAGTGGATAAGTGCAAGGACTTTGGGAGTGGCAGTATACCCCACCCCCACCCCAGACCAGAGCTCCTGCTTCCAGCCTTACCCTTGTAGCTACTACCTAAGGAACAAACTTCTGTGAAGAAAGGGCCAACCATCCCCAACTAATTGCAAACTAACTGGTACTCTCAAGGCAGGTAAGCCAGTTCCATTGAAACACGAAGGCACCCTCAGGGAGAGACAGGAGGCAATATGTATAGGATAAGTCAAGCCAACTCCATCACCTTTATCATGATGTCCTTTCAGACTCTGATGGAGACAGCCTAGCACCCTGAAACTAGGAACCTTGGGAATAGCCATAGTTTCATTCCCCTCCAGGCTGCACCCCTGGATCGAACTCCAGAAACCTTTTCATCATGGAAGTTCCTTCCAGTCTTAGAATTCAGTCATTGGAAGTATCCTCCACACCTGAGGCTTCTCCCGGTGATTGGATGGCTCTTACCAGAACCTCCATTTAAGGAAGGCACCCAGGCCAATCATGCCTTGATTCCTTAAAGGCTGAACTCCCAGACTTTCTCATGCTCCAGTGCCGGCTACCATCCTCCATAGCACACATCACCCTCCCCCTTCACCTTCCTTTTGTGTGTCGACTGAGCCTATTAGAATATTAAACTTCTTGAAGGCAGGTACTGTCTGCTTGTATTTTGTGTTAAAATTACATCTTGTTCTGGTCCCCGACCAGCCACTCCTTCTAGTCATTAATATTAAGTAGCCAGTATTAAGGGGCAACAGCAAAAAATAAAATTGAAAAGGGAACCTGTTAAGTCCTATACAAAGCTCAAAGAAGCATAATTTATAAATAGTATTATATATTAACCAAACTTCACATCTTGGTAATGTGTGCCGAATTAGCAAAGCCACCACGTAGGTGCTGCTGTCATGACTTTCTGGTCCTGTTATGCCAATCCCAGACAAATTCCAGACCTCTGCAGTTCCAGACCAGCAAAACATCAAAAGGTGGGATGACATGTTAACTTTAAATTTTTACTGATAACTGAGATGATTTGGATACATCAGTGAGCCCCCAAGGTGGCACAGATAAGAGTCCATTCCCCGCACTCTCAAAGAAAAAACTATAAAAATGAGACCTCAGGTTCCTGCCCCTCCCCCAAAACATTCTTCCACCTCCATTGGGTCCATGCTACCTAGTACTCCCAACTCTAATCTATGGCTATCTAAGTGATCTTCTCTGCCTCTCCCTTTGCCCCTCCCCATCCTCTTCTTCACAGTGTCTCCTTTCACCATCCCGTCCCGTTCCATTCCCATGCTGTCTCCTTTTGTATCTCAATCGCTGCTTGTCTCTGTACCCTCTGTGGTTATTTAAGTATGATTGCCACCCTGTTTCCCCACTGCCTATCATAGCTTTTCTTTCATGAGTACCCAAAGAACTGGGCATGCATGCCCTCAATTCATAAATCAATTCTTATTTGTATTCACAGCACCCAGCACATAGTAAACACTTAATGAATCCTGGGTTTTGTTGACTGTTGATTTCCAGTCCACGCTAGAATTCGTCATTCTGGCAAGCGCCCCTTTTGGAGACGTAGCCTGGTAACTGCTCCTGCAGGTGCTACAGCCACATCTACTGAAGCCCCAGAAAGGAAAGTTCTTGCCACCAAAGACTTTGGCACTATCAAATGGTCCAACATCAGAACTTGGCATGATTCTTATCAGCAGAAATGATAATGAAGAGGTATTACCATCTGCTTTGCCACTGCACTCTAAGACCATGAAACCTTTCATGTGTTGACTCCCATATTGGAATGTGAGCTCCTTGAGATCAGGACTGTCTCATTTTTCTACTTGTATGCATAGTACAGTGCTTTGGACACAAACATTTAATAAATTCTTCATTCATTCATTCGACAGGCCCACCCCTCCAACCTGAGAGATGTAGCAGCTTCCATTTGAGGTCCTGATGTGTCAATTCAAGTGAGGGTTGAGGGTTGGGGTAGGAGCTTAAGTATGTATTATACTTGCATCCCCATTGTTTAGGCAATACCTAAAATAATGCTTAATAAAAGCTGGTTGACTGAAGACCCATTTTCACCTAAACCACCATTAATGGCACAAAACCAAGGGCAAGTCTTTGGGGGCACTCCATTAGACATCTCCCTCTAAATTGAAATACACTAATTATACTTTGAACCTGTCCATCTAGTACATAAACAAAGCATGAGGGAATTTCTCGAATACTTTGGTAAAATTTAAGTATATCAATGATGAGAGAGGTTAGCATTACACATTAAGAAGATATAGGAATGTGAGGAAATCCAAGAACCAGATGTGGTAGAGTATTTGAAAGATCAATGGAGGAAGAAATAGAAGGGATGTCATTGGTGTATATTACAAACCATTTGGACAGAAAGAGGAAATAGATGTAGTGACTGAAGAATAAGCATAAGCCTGGCACAAAAGCATGATTCACTGTGATGGGGATATCTTCTGAAGCTCATTCTGCCCCCACACAAAGTAACGAATAATTTCTTGACTTACCTTAATGACAATTCCAGCTTTCAAAAGGTGGACAAACAAACAAACAAACAAAAAAGGAACTTCTATTCTGGATCTGTCACCAGAAAATAGGAACCAGTTGTGTTCGGGGGTGGGAGTGTGAAATTTTAAAAGCCTTCAAAGAAAACAACCACACACCCCCTTGCAGAATATGTGATGAGAGGAAATCCAGGCATAGTCTTAACACACATTCCAGATAACTGGAATGCAGATTTCAAAGGGTCAGAGACAATATGGGTAGGATCCAATGGGCTCTAAATTCTAAGCCCAAGAGAGATGAGCTCTTTAACTTCTGAGGTTGTGGGGCAACACGTGGGCAAAGAGAGGCTGCTGTGTTATAGGATAAAGCTTCTTGGGGTATATATTAGAGTCAAAGGGAGACTGCAGCCTGGCTTGATGGGATAGTGCTCTATTTTACCTAATTATTCCTGCTAATTAGATGCTAAGCTCAGTTATTTGTAGTATGTTTAAGAAATTTAAGGGCTGTCAGTGCCCGCTAAACCAGCACCCTGGGGAAAAGCACCAGCTGCCCTGTCCTAGGTGTAGTTCTACATAACTACAAACCAATCTTCACTTTTATACTAAAACACAAATTGCGTTTCATTAAATTCTTGATTTAAAAAAAGCTAAGGGGCAACAACCATCAGAAAATTCTTTTCTGTCCTACAATGGCTAGCCCGGGAACATGCACACTGTGGGGGTGTCAAAAATGTTTCTTGCTTTCAAGCAGCTGGCAGAAGCTATGTGGGAAGTAAGAGGGGCTGCAGTTAGGAAACAAAAGTTTAAATAAGCCTGATCTTCCCACCCCTCAGTTCCTTCCTGAACCATGTGGAAGCACCTCAAAAACCTTTTGAGTTCAACTGAAAATACTAAGAAATAGCATTTTCTCCAGCCTAAAACCATTTGCAGACATTTCTGTTTAGGAAAGTGAGGAGGATCAAAAGGTAAGGCCTCCCTCTTATTTAAATGGCTTACAGATGATTAGTCTTGCGTAGATCCTTGCTTTCTTCTTCCTCTGCAACAACCAGCCAAAGAGGAAAATGCCTTCTTCTGTTATTTATAAAGCACTGCAATGGCTGGGAGCAGCCTTATTTTTCAGTCCTTAAAGGGAGTGGCCAAGGAATGAAGTAATCACTATAGTTCTGGAATGTTAACACAAAACTGTATTTAACCAGTTGTTTTCCTTGTTCACAACTCCTCTAGGTGCTCACTCAAATTATTTTGGGTTAGAGACATGCCTGAGAATGATGCCAGCTTAGACATTTCTCTCTCAAGAAAAATGGGAGTAATGTTAAATATTTTGTGCCTGAAACAAAGTATGGTATTAATACTTTCTTTGACAGCCTCCAACATGCCTGCACTGGCTGGACTCTCCCCTATCCTACTGTGACCTCTTGGGGAAACAACTCTATAGTCTCCTTTACAAGAATAATCGATGATCTTGTCTTGCCAACCCCCCAACTGTGGATTACTTCAACCTTCCCCTTTTCTTACTCACAGACTACTTTAGGGTGTTCGAGAAAAATCACAAAATCATGTTGACTGGGGCTGCTACAAATATATGTTATACATAATCTCATCTAGGCCCTCACTGAAGCAAGGTAACCTCAGCAGTTTTTCCAAACCTTTAACTGGCTCTTCTAGGACCAGGCTCCCTCTCTGCCTGTCCCCAGAACTGAAGACCCCAACTCATACTTCACTGAAAAAAAAAGGTCATTTCACCAGAGTCCCCTCTTCCTTCTTCTCGAGCTCACTCTCCCTAGCCAATCTATTGAGAGTGTTGCCTTTCCACTTTTACAAGTCTACTATTGGCCTTCATCACCTCTGGCCTGGATTGTCGCCGTTGCCTTCTGGTCAGCCTCCTCCCTCATTTCCCCCCCACTCCAGCCTGTTCTCCACTCGCTGTCAAAGTGAAGAGATAACCATACTGAGTCAACAACTATTTATTAAATACCTACTATGGGCTAGGAATGGCGTTAATACTGGGGATTCAAAGAAAGGCAAAAACTAGCCCCTGCCCTTAAGGAGCTCATGGTCTAACTGGGAACAGCAACACGTGTTAACACATGAACAGCAGACAAATGCATGTGTGTACATACATGCGCAGGATAAATTGGAGATAAAGCAGGGAAGGCACTAACATGGGGAAGACAGGGCACAGGAAGCCTTTTTGTAGGTGAGATTTTAGCTGCAACCTGAAGGGAGACAGCTGTCACTCCCCTGCTCAATAATCTCCACTGACTCCCTATTATCTCCAGGACCAAATATAAAATCTCAATTGGCATTTAAAGCCTTTCCAGTATTCTTACTTTTTACATACTCTGGAATTCAGGGGCACTAGCTATGACCCATGCCTGACATACTCTCTCTCTTCACCTCCACCTCCTGGCTACTCTCAAAACTGAACTCAGATCCCACCTTCTGCAGATTTTCTTCCTCCTTCTCCCCCCTTGTCTCTGAAATGACCATCTACTGCTGTGTTGTTTACATCTTATCTCTCCCCTTACGTGACTTCCAGGCAAGAAGCGTGTTTTCACCTTTTAACCTTTCATTTCAGGCCCCCCCACCCAACAAAGATGATGGCTTCTTCCTTTCCCCTTCTTTTATTAAGCTAATCATTCCCAGTACGTTCAAACAATCCTTAGCTGGCTTGGTTTCCACTCCCTTTGCCGTAGAGGGGAGGACAACACAGTATAACAAAGACTGGATTTGAAGTCAAGAAGACCAGGGATTGAATCACAGCTATCACTTCTTGTGTACCAGGGTCAACAACAATACCAACAATTCCCATTTCTATGGGGCTTTATGGTTAACCACTCTGAGCTTCAAATGCGTTCACCTGTAAAATGAAGGGCTGGACTGAGGCACATGGCCTTCAAGGTACCTTCTAGCCATAAATTGTGTGCCTATGACTAGCTTCAGGCTTCAAAGCCTGCCTAAAATGTCATCTAAAGAGGGAGGAATGCGCAATATGAAGATGACAGCAATTTCAAGCAGTGAACATAATTCTTAACTTTTAAGCTTTCAATGGAGTTTAAAGTGAGTTTTAATTTTTCTTATACAGCAAGTGTAGGCATCTGTAAAATTCTATACTAAAATGTAAAATGAAACAGGGCATACTATCACTTTGATATTCTATTATCATGACTATCCCAAATCTAAAATTTACTGCACAGTAAGTACATTCATCTTTATAAAGCTCTTTTAGAGCAGAAGAGATAAGGAGTCCTTAGAAAATGTTGGCACTCCCTACACTGCTTAAATAAACAAAAGATGTTACAAACTTTACAAAAATTTCAATGATATAAAAACATATTTTTAAACATTCTAAGTCTTTCTGGGTCTCTTAAAGACCTGCACATTTTTATCCTCAAATTACATGGTTTCTTTTCTCTTTCCTCCAAAAAACAAACATACCAATTTCTGTTACAAATATAAAGAATCCACACAAACCCCTCTTTGTTTCCTAAATAACTTTCTCCAGGAACAAGCTATATAAGTGGGGCCAGTCCTATAGTACATTATTAGTATGACACCAGCAGCCTTCAACACATCTTTAGCGAATGAAGGAAAAATGAAGACGAAAATAAAACTCTTGAGGGTATGTTTAGGTAACTACATCTTAGTTTCGAAATTTCTTCTTTTTCCGAAACTTCTTTCCAGCTGCATTAGTGGCTTTTTCCATCATGATCTCCTTATATTTCCTTTTATTGTACCTGAAAAGACAGACACTGAAATGTCAACTAGGTATTACATAGTAAGATAAAACTAAAACAAAATAGAAAAAATCTTGACTTTTCTAAATCTATGAAATGTCTTCTATTTCTCAGCAAATACTACTTTCAGATGCAGCAAAGCATTTTAAATGCAACAAAGCATGTGGAGAAGTAAGAAGCAAAAAGAAAAAAAATTTACTTTCATTTGAGGAAACAAATGATTTTTTGAAGAATCGTAACCCAGAGCTTTCACCCAAGCAAAGCCTTGCTGATGTTTACAAATGCCATATTTTAGTCTAAAAAATAGCCATTGTTCATAGTCAGGAACTCAAGAGGTTATTCAACATTCTCATTAAAAACTGCATCCCCAACACATCTGGAGGAGTTGCTGGGGAGTGCTTTTGTTTTCAGTGATGTACTCACGCTGTCACAACAACCTTTGGCTCACAACCTTCCAGTGATTTAAACGGCAAACATGCCAAATCAAACCAACAAAGATGAAGTGGCCCCAGGGCATGGCAGGAAGCGAGCAGCAGAGCCTGAAGCTTGGCGCCCCTCCCCCACCTCCCACCTGGCTGGCGTGTCCACACCCTCCTCTGCACATGGTTTGGGCCACGCTTGTGATCTGTTACTTGTGTACATGTCGTGGATCCTCTACTAGACCTTACACGCCCCATTCGTTTTGTACACTCCTTCCTAGCCACAAGCACGGAGTTGTGCACACAGCGGACATTTAATAGGCATTAAATTAGGGGGCAGAGAGGAGGAGCAAAATCTGGTTCTAACTCCTTTCCTCTACCGAAGGATCCCTTTTAACAGGATTAATATTAAAGTTCTTAAGAAAAAAAGCCAGGCATTTAAAAGAGTGCCATATTTCCCTAATTTACACTGGTTTCATTTGTCTCAGACTCTCCTCAGATACTTGTGTGCATAACCCCACTCTCCAATTCTGACCTATAATAGAAATACTAATGACATTTCACTATTTGTCTCATTTTAAGGTGCAGAACACACTCTAATAGCACTGTCATTTTCAGAAGTGACAATCTGCTTAAGATTTCCAATAAAATTAGGTTAATTAAAGCTCAAAAGCAATACATAACTAACATCTACTAAAGTGAACATTAGTTGAATAAGCTTGTAACCCCCAACACTACAAAGGCATCATGGCTCTCCATCTTATATATGTGCAAAGGATAATTTCAACCAAATATAAAGTAGAGGGACAAGTGACATATTTTGGTAGAAATTAAAAGCAGTAACTTTAAATATTTTTGGCTATATAGGCCATATTTAAAGACAGTAAATTTTCTCTCTTGCTAACTTCTGTGAGTCCTGATCCATGCAGTGTTGACTCCACAGTGTTCTTGTGGAGTGCATGTTGAAGCCATCCCGGCTAGGCTCTTTGATACTTCCTAGCCTCTACCTTCCATGTCCCCCCATCTCTGTGACATCCCAGATGATGCTCTACATGTCTGAAGGGCTCCGCCTTCTCATCCTTACCCTCCTGGGACTCTCTCCCTCCTCTATGAAATCTTTCCTGATCTTTTCAGTTGTCTGTCTTTCCATCCTCACAGGGTCACTGCTAGAAGGGACCTCGGCACCCACTTTGTCCAACCCAGAGCTGAAGGAATCCCCTGGACAACAAATGCAGTAAGGCCAATACCTCCAACGAGGTGAATCCCATAACCTCTCTAGATAGCTCATTATTTTGTATTTACTCATCTGTGCATATGCTGTATGCCCCAGCAGGATTTAAGCCAAGAGCAGGAGCACTGACTTAATTTACTGGTAATTCCTCATAACAGTAGGCTTTTATCAAATCAGCTCTAGCCTCTTTTGACATCTGCTCACCCCCACTTCAATTTATTATTTAAACGAGTCTTCCCGTGACTCACATGCAGCTCTCCTGGCTCCTGCCATGAAGCTGTGCAGGTGGTAGTTAGTAAATTAAGTGACTATTCACCAACACCACAGGCACAGTTTGCTGTAAGAAAACATATTATAAAAATATGCTTTTCACTAAAGAAACATTGTTGAATAACCACTTGCTTTACAAACTATTTGTAAGTCTTTTGACTCTCAAGCTCCTCTGATATATTTTAAATGATCTGAATTGCAAAAATTCATTTCAAAAATTTTAAAAATAGGAATCCATTGACAGGATAAGATTTAGATGTAAAAGGGACCAAGAGATCACCTAATCCAATCCTCTCATTTTACAGATGAAAAACTGAAATAGAGAAGTTAAGTGACTTAGCAGGAGAACTTGTAAATGCTGTACACATGAATAATTCTCACCTTACCGAGCCTATTTTCTCATCTATAAAATGGGGACATTGCCTGTAGAACTTACCTTACTGTGAAGATCAAATGGATATCATAAAATTCAAACAGCTGATTCTAAAGGGGCTCAAGGGAAGCCAGTTATTATTAAGTAGTAGAACAGGCATTCAAACCAGGGCCCTCTTTCCACTACCACATGCTGCCTTTCTGAAATTTCTGTATTAAAACCCAAACAAATGATTCTACCTTCTGAATTCAGAATCAGCCAGCAATTCTTCCACAATTGTTCTTTTCCTTTGCTTCTTAGGAATCCGAGAATGATAGAAGTCAGCGGGATTATCGGCAATTGTTCCAACCTGGAAAAGATGGATTGAAATGGGAGTCCCCAAGTCAAGAAGCACGGATTTAAGTGTTTACTCCGTGCCAGGAACTGGGTGCCAAGGGCTGGGGATGAAAACAAAGGCAAAAACAGAGTTTTCATCCTCAAGGGGCTCGCTTTCTAACAGGGGAAACAACAGGCAAGTAACTGTATATGCAAGACATAACCAGGACAAATGGAAGGGCCTCAGAGGGAAGGCTGGGGGTCATGGAAAGAACTGGAAAAGGACATGGACAGTAGGAGCAAGAGGAGCACTCTTGGCCTGGTGAAGTCAAGAAATGGCGTATGATGTGTGAGAGAAGAAGCTGATGAGGGCAGATGAGGAGGGACCAGCCAAGGCTAGGGACTGAAATCGGCCCCACAGCACAGCATTGTCCAGCAGAGGTGAAGAGCAGCAGCCAAAAAACAGATGGTAAAGATTTATCCAGAGATTCAGAGGCTGAGAATGGGCCAAAAGGGCTTCTTGGATAGGAGTCAGTCAGATATGAAAGGGGCAAACTAAGGGGTCCAAGTTAGGTAAGGAGGAAAGGGAATGAGCAGAGAAGACTGAGTGAGGGGAGAGGATTAGGACAGAGCAGGGTCAGGGAAAGAGAGACGACTGCATCCAGTTGACTTTTGGTTGCTGTTACTAAAAACAATGAAGAGAGATGTGCACGATCACCTCCTTTCAAGGGCAGCTGGCCTCCCAGCTGTTTGTTACCTCCTCCTGGGTCACTTCAGAAACACAGTGGAGAAAAAGCCTTGGGGTGTCAAGTCAGCAAGCATTTATTAGGCACTGGGATAAGCACTGGGGAGAGGAAGAAAGGCAAAACCAGCCCCTGGACACAGGGAAGTCACCACCTAATGAGGACACTACGTATGAACAGGGGAACCAGGAAAGAAGGTGGATTTTAACGGAGCTGTGAGGGGGTGGATAATCCTCAGGACTGAGAACCGAAGAGTCTCCTATTTCCAAAGGGTAGAATGATAAATCCTCCACTAAACTACTTCTCCACCACTGCATGGCAGTGGGCCATTAACATGTTTGTGTATGTACACTGTCTGAGAATTGGACTAATTTGGAAAAGTTAATTCATTAGGAGGCTGGCTACAGACTGATTTTTTTAAGCCATAACTACTTTCAAAAACTACCTAAGTCAGAGGGGCTGAGAAGTGCAGGGAAATACCTACATGGACAGAAGTCTGTCGCACAACCAAAAAGGTTAATGCACATTAAGTTTTACTAACGAGTCATCGTGACATCGTGTCCCACAATGTGTAGCATAGAATCTTGTTGACCTCATTTCATCAACTTTGAATGAAGCTTATACTTTCTGATGTCTTTTCATGAAAAATAATTTCATTTTAGAAAAAGCACCTGAAGAAAGTCAATAAATATTTTACCTATCCAAAAATAAACTGAATAAACAAATCTGAATGGAAATTTTAGAATACTAGTTATTTTCAATAAGGCGATATACCAGAAAGGACACAGCAAGTCTAAGTGAATGAGGATCCCCAAATTTTTTATTTAGAAGCCGGCAGTTCTTGAAAAAAACACTCTACACTACCAACCAGACTTCCTTTTTCCTGGAGCCCCTGCAACACAGTGTCTATTTTAAAAAGATCAAGAAACCTTACATTTTTTGTGGGGGGGTGTGGGGGGAGAAGGGGGATAGGGTCACATACAAAAAGGCAGACACCGTGAAAAGCAGTAACTGCTTATTTAGCAGAAGACCAGTGCCAAGGCAGCTGTTGCTTTTTGGCCTAAAATTCTAAGGTCGGACTGAATCTCTTATCTCTGTCTCCTTCCTTCCCTCCCTCCCTCCCTCTCCACTTAGGACACTTAGGTAGAACGTTTACTAGAATGCCAGGCCGCAGTCTGAAAGACCTAAGTTCAAATCCGACCTCAAGACATTTTCGACCTGTGTGACCCTGGAGGCATCTGTTTGCCCCAGTTTCCTCATCTGCAAAATGAGTTGGAGAAGGAAATGGCAAAATACTCCGGTATCTCTGCCAGGAAATTCCCAAATGGATCACAGGGTCACACATGACTGAAAATGACTGAACAAAGATTTTACCCACTGACCACGTAAGGAAGATGAAAGAAGAAACTCTTTTCCCTCCTCTTCGTTGCTCCTGATGACCCCGTCTCTGACTAGTACTATTGTTATTGTTCAGCTGTATTTTAGTCAAAATAGGCCTTGCACCTATAGTTAGTAACCTATCTCATTTTTACAGGGGTGTCCTTGAAGTTCCAAACAACCTAATTAAAAAGCTCTGGAACACAATTCCTTTGTAAGCGATTAACTACCTGTAGGGAATGATTTCAAAGACTGACCAGATCTGTTCTGAGGTCTTTCTGATCTAAAACTCCCTGATTCTGACCACTATTCTGGGGGCAGACAACACAAGACAAAATAAACAAATACAAGACAAAACAAATAAAACTTCTGAAGGCCATAAAAAGAAAACAAATTACAGCCGTTAATCCAAATTAAATAAATGAATAGTATTTCTTACCTGGAAATATTTAGGGAAACCATCTCTATCATTTTTCTTATAAAACCTTTTAGGGTCCATACTGGCCCTCATCTGCAGTGCTCTGAGATCGTTTTTCAGTTCAGTTGTCAATTCTGGGGCTTTCATACCAAACCAGCCATCTCCTGCTGTTTTGTTCCGTTCCTCCTGAAATTTAGGTTGCAGAATAAACATCATTATCTTTTATGTGTCAGCACAAAACACCATTTTCCCTCAAATTACATACTAAAGACTATTTTGTGAATTGGTATCAATTAATAATATTTAAATTTGGAAAAAAAATTGTCTCCTGGTTTTTCATTATATATAAAAAGAGAATGAGTAGGTGAATAGGAAAGAGATTTTTCAGACAACTATAAGTAGACTGACTATCTGATAAAGGAGAAGAGATGGGAGAAGAATGGGAGAGAATTATTATTTCTATAGCAGTTTTTCCATTAAAAATACATACTACCATTATGATTGTTCATGTAACAAATGACTCATAAAATACTTCCACTCAGGAGTCTAAGAAAAACAAATACAAACAATCTTTTCATTCCATCTCCTGTATTTTAGAAAGCCACTTATTCCTATTATTTTTAACAGTGCAAAAAAAAAAATAAATAAATCACCATTCTTCTAAAACTACCCAGGGGTTAAGACACTGAGTTTGTATGCCCCTACTTTGTTTCACATTAGTGATAGGAACCTTCATCTATGATTTTTAACAGCTCTATGATTTACTCATAATAGTACTCTGAGAAGATAGGGCCCCTGGATTCAATATAACAGACACTCAGCATGTGTTCAAATGTAGGAAAAAGTTGAAAATGGCATATTTCCCCCCAATGTTCATTAAAAACAGAATCAGATTCACTGACTGAACTTCACTTTGTTGAAATGGCTACCTGCAAATTCTGTGTTTCTCACATGCTATGCTGTTTGGCCAAGTCTCAGTTATTCACAGCCATAAGCACTACTCTAAGCTCTCTCCTTATCCTCAACACACTATCATTTACCATTCTTGATGCCACCTCAGTTTCGTAAAACATAATTTACTTGGTATTCTACAGACGATGAGTCTTAAGCCAAGATCTCTGTACTTACTCTGCGTTTTTTCTTAAGTTGAAATTGTGATTCCTTGTATGGTGGGATGCAATCCTTCTTTTCAAAATCAGGAGTAATTATGGTTTTCTGCAAGAGCTGATAAAAGAAAATGAATGAGCCCCTGAATGCTGTCAAAATAAGCTAAACAACCAAGTCACAGTTTGTGTTTTAAATTGACTACACTTAACATCCTCCAAAAAATGCAGTCTATGTCTCATACCTTGTTTTAAGCAATGTCCCTAAAAACCTTTGTGTAAATCAGATCATGCACTAGTGGTGCTACAAAGAACAATCTTGATTTCTTTAATAAAACAAAGAAATATTCCTTTAATGTTTATGAATGTATACATTTTATAAAGGGAGCTAGGTCGTGCAGTAGACAAAATAGCAGGCCTACAGTCATGAAGACCTGAATTCAAATCCAGCTTCAGACCTTTTCTACCTGTGTAATCGTGGGTAAATCACTTAATCTGTTTGCCTCAGTTTCCTCAATTGTAAAATGGGGATAATAACAATACCTACATTCACTGGGTTGCTGTGAGAATCAAATAAGACGATATTTGTAAAGCACTTACACTATACATTGCTCATTCTATACCTATTTGTTGGCATGCTGTCGCTGACCATAAGCTCCATCATGGCAGAGACTGTTTTTGGATTCTGTATTCTTTGTGCTTTTAACATACTGCCTGGTACATAGTCAGTTAAATGTGACATCAATGCTAGCTATTATGATTATTACTGTTAAAAATCTAAACTTTTATGTAACAGACTTACTTATTAACACAGTGCTCAACTATATCACCATAAAACCAACTACCCACATAAAACAATGGGAATATCTGAAATATGTAAGGAAATGGGGTGGGTAAAAAAAGGTCTCTTACAGAATCTGACTGAATCATAAACAACATACCATAAAAGCTCTTTTTCCTGTTAGTTTAACCCAGCTATAACTCATCTTAACTTTCTGTGGCTAGAGAAAAAAAAGTATGATATATTAAAGAGATAGCCCTAGAGATACTCATTTTGATGGTTTTAGCAGGCTGCTGGTCTGGGACAGCAAATGACTATCTTTTGGCAACATCCTAGATTTCCACCATAGGTGCTTGCTCATGGCTCTGAAAAGAAGCCGCAAAAAAAATTAAATGATCATTTTTCTCAATGTGAGCTTATTTTCCCTAAGTACAGATAAAAATCTTGCTCCATTGGCTGTTTGAGGTTGTAATCCCAGATAGCGACATCCAGTTAGCTACACGGTAAAGGTTACAAGTTTACAGAATTGGGGAGATTGTTTCCCTGGGTTTCCTATATCACACTGAGGCCACATCCTGCGAATACCTAATAGCACAGTGGAAAGAACGTGGGATTTGGACATTATTCGATAGACGGCAAAAACCTAATTGAAGGTTTCTGAGCAAAGGGAATGATACAGTCATTTACGTTTTATAAAAGTTACTCTGGCAGCAGTGTGTGAACTGCAGAGAAAAGAGACTAGAGAATGTAGGGACCAATTAGGAACATGTTAAAATAATCCAGCCAGATGGATGCTTGGAGGGCCTTGGGAAGGATGGAAGAAATAATAAGGGACAGAGTGGTCTGCAGCATAATGAATACAGGGAGGCAGAGGACAAGCTGAAGATAAAACATCAAACTGTGCATCTACGACAGAAGACTAACAAAACCAGAGAAAATGAGGAGGAACAAGCTTAAGGTGAGAGTAAGATTACCTTTCATCTGAAACACCTAGGTACATATATTTAGCATACAGTGGGAAATATAGGCCTGGAACTTGGAGGCTAAAGATATAAATTTGGGAGTTTTCTGCACTGAAATGGTATTGAAACCAGGCCCCAAATAGAAGAGGGAAGGAATAACATTTCCCAGGAACACAGAGTTTCAAGAACCTTGAAGCAAGCAGTAAGGTTCTCTAGATGGAACTTAAACTTACCTCCTTTTTGTTTTTCTCCTTTATTTGCGCAAGGGCATTTTTGTTAAAGTCCATTTTTTCTGCATTAAAGTTAATATACAAGCCTCCAAGTTGCTTAATACTCAGACCAGGGTCTATGCTGCTACTTGACAACTTCAAGCTGAAAGAGAAATAATAACTTCATTAAAAAGTTAAATCATTAAATAAAGATGGAAACAAAGCAGCAGAGCAGTGTGCACAGACCTGAAAATAGTTTTCTTTTCCTCCTCTGACCTATTTTACTTTCAATACCTCACATTCCACAAAAGATAAATTCTTCCCAAATTACACACAAATTACATTTTTGTACCTTAGTTTGTCTTAAAATTTCAGTTCATGAATGGAATTTCTGAAGTAAAAGAAATACATAAGGGAATATGCTAGAAATTAACAAGGTTAAGCTTTATCCTTAAAGGCATCCTACTGATAAAGTGAATTCAAATGACTTAAAGATCTTAAGTAATTTTTTAACTTCCAATTCACCTGTATTCAAAGACATTTAGTTCTTCTTCTAAATGTTGTGGGGAAAATGACCACTTTGGGAATATCCTGTAGGTACCTTCTTCTTTATTATAATTCTTCACATTAAGAAGATTATACCTGACCTTATCAAGAAGCTTCAAATAGCCCATTTCTTTCTGATCACATAAGAGAAAACTTCTAAATAATCCACTTCATTTTACTGTGCTGACTCTGAAATGCAATGACACACTGACCCACCCTCTTTACTTTAGTCCCTGGTCCCCTCCACATTAAGCCGTAGTGTTGGGAATCTAACTTATCTAGGAGGTAGCAGGGCCCGAGGTAATTTCAAACAGATAACTTATTACAAATCATCAGGAATTAACTACTTTGCTTTGAGACCAAACTATTCTTGTTACTAAATATTTACCTATTGCAAACACCTTAGGGTATGCCTGAGTGTATTAAGACACCAGGGAAGGAAACAGGAATCAAGGGGAAAACTTTCTAAGAACTATTTACTCTCTACTTCAATTCACCAGTCTTGGCTGCAGATGATTTCCTACTTAATCGCCTACATTTCCAGGTACTTACTCTGCAATAAAAGAACCCAAGCCCAACAAAGTAGCTAAAAAGACAGCTTGCCTTCCCCTTTAAATTGGTCCCAACCCCGATGCCCAAAAAACCACTGTTAAAAGCAACTGAGAGCTCCTCTCCAATAATACTCAAAATACCTAAGTGTCACTGTGGGTACGCTTCAGAGATCTCTCCATCTACAAACTATACGCCCAAGAAGCATAGAAACAAGGCAGACTGAGCACCTCTGAGCCAGAAAATATTCATCTGTAGAGACCCACTGCCCAGCTTACTAGTCTCCTATCATTGGCAGAGAAAGTTAAAGGGATGTAATACAACACATGTTGTTAATACATGTTGTTAATTCAACACATGCAAACCCACATTCTTCAAATAAATAAGCAAACTTACAGTTTAGACTTGGTGTTACTCAATACGTCATCCTCATCTATGAACTCATCTTCATTTTCTTCCTGGTCTACAGGTTCCTCCTCTTCACTTTCTTCTTCATCACTTTCCTGCTCACTGGCTACTTCACTTGTTTTTTCTTCCTCTATATAATAATTCTTATCAGAACTCAATCCAGGGGTTTTATCAATGACAAAGAATATATCATTTGATGGGTTATCTTCTGAGTCTTTTTCCGATGACAGCTTTTGCTCACTATTCTCAATAAAACACAATATATCTTCTTCACTCTCATTATCTTCAGATACCTGGTCCTCCTCATCACTGCTGAGAGCTAACAGGATATAATCACTGTTATGGGAACTGTTGGAAACCGAGGGGGGGCTTACCATGGTATTACCTTTTAAATGTTCTTCTTTGTCATTAGTATCTTCAATGACGCTGATTTTGTGGTCACTACTCTCTCTGATTTCTGTAACATCACTGATTTCCCCTGCCTTTTCATTCTCCTTGCTCCCCTCCTTACATTCAACTGAAAGAACAAAAGCTTTTCTTACCCCATCAGTACCTGTGTTTTGGTGCTCTGGTTTGGTATTATCTGGTGTTGACTGGCTTTGAGAAGTAAATTGTTTTTCAAAATTACTTTGCAGAAGTTCTGTACAACTTGTTTCTTTTTCCTCCTCCAAGATACAGGGCTGTTCATTTAAATTCTTTTCTTCCAAAGACTCTTTGGCAATGACACCTTTCTTCCTTCTTGTCTGTACTTCTGGTTTTTCTTCTGAACTTTTCACTAAGGATTTACCATCAGAGACCTGAATTTCATCTTTACATTGACTGGGCCTATTTTCTGGAGAAGGAGCAGTCTGTTCAGTATCTGAACTCTGAGTACCCACACATGTGGATTCAGAGATGCTCTCTAGTTGAGAAGGAACTACATGTTCATTCTGGTTTACATTTTCTGGCCTATCCACATTATCTTCCACTTCAGCTTGAGCATCATCTTCTTTCTTTAATTTCCTCTGTTTGTTTCTTGTGGTTCTTCGGCTTCCGATGGATGAAACACCTGAGCACCATGACTCAGCATCAGAAGTTTCTTCAGCCAGTAAAGCAGAATTTGGATCCAAATGGAATTTCAACTCTCTCTGTCTGGCCCTTCTGGTTCTAACAGGTGATGCCAAAAGGGCAGAAAGAACTGAGGAGCAGGACTCAGTTTCAGAAACTTCACCTTCATCACCAGATTTGATGGATTCACTTCGAGTGGTCTTGTGTCTACCCCTGGCTTTGGACTCTGGCTGGCAGGGAATTATGATGCGCCTTCTCCTAGTGACCCTCACTGTTGGCTCCTGTAGTCCGGAGGCATAAGAACAAGTTGACTCTGCTTCGGAGACCTCTCCATCTGTTGCTGGCTCAAGGGTCTGTGCTAATGAAATCCTACTTCTACTCCTCACTGCTTTGACTGTGGGAGGATCCTGCGGGAGGGGTTTGGTGTCAGCATCGTTTAAGTTATCAGTCTTCAGGTCCTTCATGTCTTCTGGCTGTCTGTTGTTACTCCTCCTTGCTCTGGGGGAAGGTAAACCCTGAAAAACAGGCAGAAATAAAATTCCTATTACAATGACAGAGAGGAACTGATGTGGAATAACGCATAAGGAATTCAAGCACGGGGGTCAGAGTCGGATTCTCGTCCCAGCTTTGCACTAGACCTCCCTGTGTGACCCCCGACAACTTACCGGACCTCTCTAGGCCTCAGTTTACTTATGTGCCAAAGGGAGGGACGTTGGGGGAGATGACCTCTGGGCTCCTTTCCAGGCTCTACTCCTCCACTCTATGGCAAAGGTTCGGCACCAAGCCCCACCTGGGAAGGCTGTTCGCTCTGCCTGGCCGGACCGGATCCCCGAACACAGACCTGACCTCAGGTCCGATGGGCTTTGGGACTCGCGGCTGCCTAAAGTACTGGTGCCGAGCGAAGATTCTCAACTCTGGCTGCCAGCCACGCTGCAGGATGGGGCGGAGCTAACGGTAGGGCGGGGCCACGCAAGTGCCGCCCCGCGCGCATGCGCCCTGACGCCACTGCGCTCTTCCCCGCGCCAACCAGGCCCGGGTCCAAGAGCTCGCGCTGCGTCACTCAAAGGACCCCCTCCGCACTTCGTACCGGTTCCTCTTCCCCAAAACCGAGATTCGCTTCCTCGGGCCGGGCTGACAGTTTGCAAAGCGGGGGCGGGGAATGGGGAAGAGGAGTAATAGCGAATTCCCGTCTCCTACCCTGCGCCCCGGGGATTCATTCATCTTAATTCGTCTCGAGAAAGGCCTCTCCGGTAGCTCCGGCCGCTCCGCCCGGTCCGGCCGCATCGATCTGGTGGCCACCATCCTGCTGGGTCCCTCATCCGCCAACTGTTGCAGCCTTCACGTTCTGACACTTCCTTGTTTTAGGACGCCCCGGAAATACGTTTTCTAATCCGGTCTTGGCCATTTTTTCCTAGCCTCGGCGCTTCCCTCCCTAGATGACGTCACTCCGGGGAGGAGAGCGCCGAAGTCCCTCCTCGCGCAGGCGTTTCCGGTTCCTTGTTCGGTTCTACTTCCGTAGCTGGAGGTCACTGAGCCGGGCAAGCCAGGAAAAACGAAGAAGCTGGCGCGAAGGCACGCCCCTTCGGGCAGCTAGCGGCCCCGCCTCCTCGAATACTTCCGGATGGAGATACGAGGGACGGAAGCTGAGACTCAGGATCGACAAATTGGCAACTCTGTGCGTCCTGCGTCAGAGTTTGGGAAAGAAACGAGTACGGTTCACCCCATCCTAGGGTCACCCCAAGCCCAGCCCCAAAGCTCCAACTGTCCCTGTTTTCCAGTGGTGACTAGATAACCCTGGCTAATTGAGGCGGCTTGAATCTGCAAACCCCGGGTTCAAATACTAACTCGACCACTTTTAGCTTTGCGACCTTGGGCAACTGACGCCTCCTCTCCCCTCCATATTTTGTATTTCTATCAACCAACAAAGTATTAAGGGCCTTCTATGAATCAGGCTCTGGAGTTGCAAGTAAAAAGGATGAAATGCAGTACTTGAAATTACCGTACATTTTAATGAGATAACAAGAACATAGCAAAATATGTGTATATAAGTTGATAATCATTTAAGATCAATTGAGCCCCAATAAGGGCCAAAAAACCTGAATTAATCTTTTTCTCTCTGAGTGAACTAAAAACACCCCTTCCTGTGTCAGCAAATTCCAGGAACAGATAGAACTGATCAACTAAGCCCAGGATGTCTGGGACCAGATTCTCTCTTGAATAACGGGACTTTTCTTATCTTGCGTTTCTGTTGACACTTTGACATTCTTCTGTTTTATTGCATTTACAACCTTATTCAATTAAGAAAATTCCTTTCCCATGCTATATGTTAAACAAACATATGGAGGCTGTATTTTTTGTAACACAGGCATCCTGAGTCTGATCACTCTAAACTGTATAAAACCTCTCTCATTTTGCTTAATCTCTGAGTCAGAATCACATTCTGGCTTCCATGTTGACATGATTCACTAGCTAAAAGGGAATAAACTATATAATCATGTATCACCTAACTTGTTTCCCTTTTTAACCAAACTTTCAGGTTAACAGTAATGGTGCCGTGACTTTGGATTGGAACTGAAGGAATGGGAGAAACTCCAGCCCACCCCGGCAATGCCTTAGTGGCTCAGGTGCCTCAGGATCCGTTTTTTCCTGGAGTCCTAACCTTGACGGGGTCGGGTAAGTTTCTCCTATTCCCAGCTTCCATGGACCTCCCACTAGTTTGGTTGAAGTCCGAAAGAAAATTCCCTTTAAGTTAGCTCTGGGGTCGGGGATCCAGTCAAACTCTGGCTACTGTATCAGGTCCCCTCAGGTAAGGCTCAATCTAGGCAAACTGGCTATGGGTCAGTCAGAAACTAAAACTAGAAATCCGGCTAACAAGACCGCCGCCTCTTATATGTCAAGCCATTGCCAATCTGGTGATCACAAGTACTGCTAGCACTGATATCAATTAACTAAAAATAACCCAAAATCATGTTGGCCACAATATGGGGTTCTTTTGACCAAAGTTACTTTATCTTAAAACCAAATCAAGTTTAAAGGCCAACAAAATATCTAGCCAGGAGTGGGAATGTTTTCATCATTGGGTTGCTGAGGTGGCCGGGAGAGAAGGAAAGGCAGAAGCCTCTTCCCTTAAGGCTGGCAAGGCGGCTTCAGCACTCTTTCCCAGGCTCCAAACAATCCTCCTCCCCCTCTCCTTTCCCTTAAAGGCTATGGTCCTGACAGGGACTCAGATCCCCAAACTTAACTTTATTGGGACTTGCCCCTTTAAATCTGCAATCTCAGGGGCACTCTGAGGAAGGCTCACAGGATCCAGTTACACTATCAAGTCTTGGATCCTCGCAAATTCTCCAACCCCTTTTCCTCAGAATATTAATAATAATAATAGCCAATTGGGGGGGGGGCTTTCTAACAAGCCTCTAATTCCCTCTGTCTCTGTCATTAAGTGCGCACTATGTCATTATGTTTGTATTGAATTTGTCTGTCGGTTTGTGTCTCTGTATCTGTACCTTATGAGATTTTAAATGCAGCCAAAGACTTCTAATGGCTGCAGCTAGGGAAACAACAAATTGTAAAACTCCTTTCTTGTGGGTCCAGCTAAAGACTTCTTAGCAGATTCTAAAGGTTTTGAGATTAATCATTAAGAAATTGGGAAGTTGTTCATTTTGGAACTGTTGTAGAAAACTTCTGAGACTGGGGGTGATTCCAGGAGCTCACCCTCCGCTAAAACACCTCCTTCCAATCCTGATTCCTCAGCATTCCCCATTCCCCCCCCTCAGCGATAAGCATCTCAATAAGGGGACTGAAAAAGAGAAGAGAATGCTGGAGAATTGTAGGGAAATTAAATCAGCCTTCCCTGTCTGGCAAAAGGAGGAGAGGGGCAGCTAACACAGACTAGCAGTGATGGTCTGCTATCAGCCCTATGCCCCTGGGCAACTTGCAGCCCACTTTTCTAGGCAAGACCTGGGACTGATGTCCAGGTTCAGTACATTCTACCCAGCCTGCCCCAGCAGCTGCAAATGGCACCAGACTCAGTAAATTATGCAGCTGTGGGGAGGAGAGAAGTGGACAGGTCAGAACTATGATAAGATTCCATATGCCCTGCCACCAAGAATTATCACCACTGGCAAAACCCTGGCATCAGCCACCTAAACCCGTGGAAGGCCTCAATAGCATTATGAGGTGAGAAGCCAACTTCTACTCTTCGTAAGCCCCATACTTCTCTGTTCCAGTTTCAGAATTTATGGCAAGTTATTTTATCTCTGTTTGCCCTGATTCCTGATTTGTAAAAGGAAAAATAATAATGGTTGTTGTTATGGGATCAAAATGATATAATGATTGCAAAGTGCTTAACACAATAACATATGTTAGACAACATTATTATTATCTCTCTAACTTAATGTAATTGTTCCATACCTGATAACTTTAAAGTGGTTTTTAAATACCATGAGTAATAAGATCAATAATTTCTATATGTGATAATCTGGAAATGCAACTGATGTCATCTGAAGTTTATTGTTTGTGTTGTTAGTATGTTTCTAAATTGTATTGTATTTCTAAAACTTTCTTAGATTGTAAAATTTGAGAGATCGTCGTGAGGTAGAAATGGTACATATGGTTTAGTCTTTTAAAAGGATGTGATAAAATTGGATAATTTGAAAACTGTTAACATTTAATGAGATACATTTGGTTGTAAGCAGGTAATTAATTGGTTCCATTTCAGGTTTTAAATACCTGATAATTGTTTATGGTATAGTTATATTTCTGAGATTTTTTTATATGGTATAATCTGGTAAACAAATTGTATCAGCTATACTGTTGGAAAAAAAAGCAATTTCTCTTATAATCCAGAGATGTTAGATCAAGAATTGTCACCCCTCCCAAAATAATAATAATAGGGGGGAATGAATGGGTTAGAATAAACTTTCAAGTTTTATTGCTTTTAAGAGGAAGTTTCACCTAAAATTCTTATCAAATCTGTGTAAAAGTTTCCTGTGTTGTGAAATTCCTGAGTAAATGAGAATCCTTGAGATATGTTAATTTGGAGATTTATGGATTACCACATTCACTATCTTTGTGAGATTCCAGAATGTAATAGTTTTTCCTAACTTCCAGTGATATATTTAAAGACAAAGGAAAGAAAAAAAAATACTGAGTAAATTTTTAAAGGCTTGATAATATTTTAATTGTGATAAGTCTAATTTAAATGGGCATGTTCTTTATGCATTATAAAAACTGAATTTTTTTCTCCATTACAAATATCTTTTTGACTAAGAAACTTTGTGATATCTAGGAATTCTGTAACAACTAGGAATTTAGTTTGTTATAGTACTTTGGGAAGTTATTTATGTTACTTAAGGACATTTTACACCAACTTAGTTTTAATAAATTCCAATGTTAAATGTTTATTTTTACTTTGAGGTGGAAAGGAAAGATATTTATCACTTTAAAAATTTCTAACAAATGTTCTTCATAAAAGTTTAGTGATTATTCTTAACATCAGGACAAATTTTAAATTGTTTTTAAAGAAGGGAAATACTTTTCAGAAGATATGTCTTTTTTTTTTTTTGAGGCCTACAAAATTTTCATTTGCAAGATAACTTACTGCTAAATTATTGTAATGAGCTGTAAAGCAGAAGAGATCTTGCTGTTTTGATCCAAATCTGTAGTCACTTCATGGCCTAAGCAAGTGTTTGAACTTATATGTGTAAGATTCAAATCTTGAAGTATCTCATTCTTTCAGAGTGAGTATAATTAGAGAAGAATAAACAAGCCTGTGAACAAGGACATAAATCCATCAACTTCTGAGGTTGAAGTTAGTAACCTCTTTATTTTGTTTAAGGATTAGGATTCCAGTGCAGTTATGTTAGTGAAGAGTAGTAATTTATGAGCTCTTTTGTGTTAATCGGAAATCTAATATTATTATCAATCTGGAATTCGAACATGTGCAGAAATTTATACAAACTTCTGAAGACTCACCTAAAGATGTTCCCATTGTTTAAAGGAATTATGAGAGCAGTAGTATTTTTCTGTGATCAGTCTCTTACTGTTACAAATGTGAGATTAAATTCTTATTATCTAGGATATGTGACTTTATGGGACAGAACTTTACTATTGTTTTGAGCTTTGATTACCAGGATAATTGTCTGAGTTGTCATGAAGCTAATAGTAGGATGGCATGTGCTTCAGGCTGAGAACTGATAAAGGTGGATGTCTGTGCCTGGAAAGCGTTTTGAGGACGACCTTGGACACAGCCTAGGTAGGATCTTCCTGACTCTACTTCCCAATTGTGCTATTTCCTTTCTGAAAAGGAAAATTCCCCACCTAATTAATCCTAAGCCCTGCTTTTAACATCCAGTGACTACATGACTGGCTATCAGATATGACTCATGCCTGGAATCAAATA